ACTCCACGTGTTAGAGGATTTTTATACAATATAAAAGCATATTTTATTAATTTTCAATGCGCACAGAATGTGAAAGAAAACTATGGAGCCTCCGGTGATGTGAGGGGTGGGTATTATTTCGCAAGATACCCTGAAACTTGAGAATAATCCAAAAACATCAATTTACTAATTTGGAACGCATGCAGAAATTGAAATTATGCAGCCTCCGACTATGCGATATCCAGAACCTCCAGAAAAATTCAAAATCAGGTAAAATTAGTTTTTTTCTGGATATAAATTGAAAGAAAACCAATCAGCCTCTGACCACGAGCGAAGTGCCTATGGTTTCGTTTCAAACCCTTAGAAAAATCTATAGAAAACCCCAACCAGAAACATGGAAAACCGTGAACAAGTTTCGATTTTTCCAGAAAATTGCAACTTAATTTGTTCAAAATAATATCCCTAAACCAATAATCTCATCACATCATAACAGTATTCCCATTATGAATAGACGGGTCCTTTTTCATTATTTTAAACTAATAATTAAAATATCTCTTCAAAAATATTTATGGAGTTCCAGAACTGAAATACCCTCCCAACACTTTCTAGAACCGCCTCTGAGTTCTAGCAATATTTCATTTTGTTATTTAAGGCAACATCAATATTTGTTGATGGAACATGCAAAAGCAGAAAACAAGACAAACTAATAGTATTTAATACAAAGAAATGGACATTTGACGTGTATATTTCAAAATAAAATTCGATGGAATAAATGATCTTCCGTCTCAAAGATAAATTCCTTAATGAATTCAAAAAACAATTAATTTATTTTCTGTCTAATAACGTTTTCCCCTAAAGTTAGTGCTAGACATTAAAGACCTTGGCAGCTACAAATGTTGGACTAGGCCATAAAAATTCAATTTCACTGTAGATAAACAGTCAACAAAATTAAATTTTAGAAAGAAGTCATAAAAGGGATTTCATCGAAATTCACGATCGATATAAATCACGTGGAGACGGACCGATTCGATCAAAAAGGAAGACTGGGCGCTGCCATAAAGCATCTTGGGAGCAACTTTTTTTTGTCAACATCAACAGTATTTTTTCAAAACTCCCGGGAGTATTCTCCTTCTTTGTTGGGCCTTCGGACATCGGCCGCCGTGTGACCAGCGGCTAGACTTTGCAGTGTGCGCGTGCTGCCAGCGCCTCCGCCCACGCGAGGGGACTCGCAAAGCCCTCCTTGTTTCAGTGCCGTAGAACTCCAACTCTTCAACCCTCATCCCAACCTTTCAATTTTGTTTCTCTAAAATCGTCTACATTGTTTGTCTTTAAATATTGTGCTAGTATTATTCAGCATTCAAGCACCAAATAGCATTACCTGCATATTGACAAATAATTATATAATGGGTAATTAACAGGTAATAACGGTTAAGTGGAAAAATAATAGTAGAGCTAAGAATCTTAATTGTTACTTAGAGTATTAAAAATATTAACAATTGCTAAGCTACATATGCATATGTCTTTATGTAAATAAGAGAAGACAGCTATTGCATAAATTGTTTCAACAATGCATTTTGTTTTGAAGAAATTTACAAGGTAAAATAGACTTGAATTTCGAAAGCCAAGGTAAGAAGACTCTCGATATGAATAAATATTTCAATAAAAGTTGTAATAACGTAATTATCTTGCATACATTTTTTATTCTTCTGTGCATAACTTAGAATTAATTAAAGTTTGTTTTTCTGTACTCAGATTGGTCTGTCAAAATATCAACACCATGAGGTGCGTACGGCAATTTGCCTACCTTTCAGCCTGTTCAATTTTCAATGCATCCACGTGCCCTCGAGGAGGGTGCTACTTCGTATATAGTAAATATCGGTTTCACGCTCACCATCTATTTTTATATGCTAAGTTGCATTCCACGAATAGCCTCACTTTTATCCTTATTTGCTTTTGTTTCCTTCAATTCTAGGCCTCTTGCCAGAAATTTTCTGTTGCGAAATGCCTTCTGATAATTTCTCTGTTTTAGGAGGCTGCAACCTAAACTTTATTTTCTTTCTTTCTTTTATTGTTTAAATTTATTATATTTACTTGCGTATTGTAAATTTACGTAAATTAACGCAAAGCATGCCACTACTGCGTCTTCGGAAAGTACTCTATACCAATTTTGAAGACGTCAACATTCGAAAATTTGACTTCAATTTCCAGGAAAAGTAGTCTAACTCTTCTTTGTAAAATGTGTGTTGAAGGCACAGACAGCACATTATAAAAAATATCTTCCCCGCTGTGAGTCTGGCTTCCGTGCTGAATAGTGCAAACAGAATAACATCAGAGTTATGAGTACTTTAGTAATTAAAATTTACAAGAATATTTAATACAATTTTACATTTTTGCGTGATTTATTATGCAAGTATGAAAACTTTCATTTCTTCCTAATATTTTATCTAGTTCGAGCTCAGAATATTAACTGTTTCTCAAAACGTATTTTTGTTTCCAGGAAACCCACTTGACGTGGGAATGGACTTAACCATCGCCAGTTTCGATTCCATCTCGGAGGTCAACATGGTAAGCAGCAAAACAAATATTATCTAAATCTCAACAAAAAGTAGGATTTCCTTTCCTTGATTTTATAAGTTCTTTTCTTTTTCAGGACTACACTATCACAATGTACCTGAACCAGTACTGGAAAGACGAACGATTGGCATTTAGCAGTGAAGAAGAAATTTTAACTTTGTCGGGAGACTTCGCGGAGAAAATTTGGGTCCCTGATACGTTTTTTGCAAATGATAAAAACAGGTTCGATTGCATCAGCGTGGACGGAGGCTTAAAGCTAAAGCGGTCATTTTCCGCTTTTATAACTCTACTTCCTTAGTTTCTATTAGTGATGCTACTTTGTTCCCATTTACGTTCAAATGAAATTGATAGTTAATTCCATCAATATACATACGTTTTGATTTATTACATTCTTAACATACACCTTTTTTGTAAACTTGGATTTTTTTACAGGATTGGTAGGACATTTTTTCAATCACAATTTCGTTTCTTCATTTTTTCTTGCACTTGCAATTTTACAATATATTAGAAACATGTTTTTTGTTATTATTGTCTTGGACATCTGCATTACCGGCATAACTTTGCTTATTAGATGACTCACAGACCAAGTTTATTCAAAATTACATGCACAATGCACAATGGGCTAATAGATTCTCTGCTAATAGATGATAAAATGTATATATTCCTTTGATAGAGCTTTTCAGATATTAAACGAGCCACAAACGGTCACATTACAATGAAACCAACATTTCTCATAACCATTAAATATCTCATTGGAATCTCATGAACCATACTTGACGCAAGCCCTTTTTTTGAGCCGTCTCATGAAATAACTAGTGGTGCTGAAACTGCATGTACTTTCTCGTCCGTATGTTAACGCAAAATTACGCAAAAAGTACTCAAATTTTTGAAACATTGTACTTGACCTTATTTCAAAATCTATATTTAAGGAACAGATTTCATTAAGGAAAAATACCTCTTCATAATTTTAGTTGTAGGAAGATCCCTAGACAATTTTCAACTTTTGTAATTTTCGAAAAATCTATGTTTTCCACGAACTTGAGACCTGCACTAAGGTTTGTTCTATATTAACATACTTTTTGCTAATATTCAATCTGTTGAAAAGATTAATGTTTTTACGTAATGTCTAGGCTCCCGACGCAACCACATGTAACCTGCCCTTTCTCATGACGTGTTTTAGATAATTTTTTTAAAGTATTTTTCTGAAAACTTGGATTGAAAATACACTATTTTTTGCCAAAATCAACTTTACATTTAATTTTTCAGTAATGGTAAGAGCTAGAAGGTTGAGATTTTGCACTCAAAAACAATGTTATTTTATGTGCTAAATTGGAGAAAATTATTAAACAAATAATGGGCATGATGATTAAAGAGTGCTTTTCGCGGCAGTGCTGTTGCAGTTTTCCGTTTGCAATATTCACAGTTTCCTGCACGACGTGACCGAGCGGAACAAGCTGGTGCGGCTCAACGGCGACGGGAGCATCACGTACGGCATGCGCTTCACCACGACGCTCGCCTGCATGATGGACCTGCACTACTACCCGCTCGACTCGCAGAACTGCACCGTGGAGATCGAAAGCTGTGAGGATACCAATCTCTAAAGCCTACCGCGCTTTCACTTTTCGACCTATTCGACTATTCACCCCAAATGGTGTCTTCATTCTTATTTAACACCTTACCCTTTCAAAACTGCTCTAAAACCTGCTTTTCCCTTTCAAATATCCACTCGAGTACCAGCTGGGTGCAAGTGGAAAGAAATATACCTACGCATCAGTGCTTAGGTATATCCTCATTGGTACCAAGTTGACCGTTGAAAACAAAGAGCATTATATCAGTGGCGACGTAAGAGGGAGCGAACATCATCTCGCGAAGGGAAGCCGTACTTCCCATCTGCTAAGAGAGTCCGATCCTGCGAGCTCCATAAGGCCGTCTTCTACAATAGGTCCGCCCATTGAGCGGGGCCTAACTGCCGGGGGGGGGGACTTAAACGGGCTCGTATATTCGTTCATACTGGCCCCATACCCGAACGAGCCCTACATCGCCACTGATGTACAAATGCCTCGGAGTAAATGTCACAAGCGTCTAGGGTTTTGGCAAAGAGCAGGACGTGGAAAACGTGACGAAGCGAAGTTGCGAAAAGCCCTTTGGCACATCGCGACCCCGATTGGTAGGCCTCGGATCCTCCCTCCTACTTGGCAAGGACACAAAATCTCTCTTTGGCAGAACGTGGACCAACCAAACATGGTAAGTTGCCAATAACGTCGTTATGTTAAAAATTTCTTGCGTGTAACTACATTGTGGAGGATACCCCACACGTTCACTAGAAAATCACATGAGCATCTTCGACCGCCTCCATGTGTACACGTTTGTAACATTTATGCTGCCGAACGCTGCATCAATACTGCGCAGTTGCCGTCGCTGAAAGCTTTCGTGATTGGTGTCTCCAGACGGCTACACCGTGGATGACGTGAAGATGTACTGGAAGGAGACGCCGGTGCGCGGCGTGGAGGAGGCCGAGCTGCCCCAGTTCACCATCATCGGCTACGAGACCAACGACCGCAAGGAGAAACTGGCCACGGGCAGCTACCAGCGCCTGTCGCTCTCCTTCAAGCTGCAGCGCAACATCGGCTACTTTGTCTTCCAGACCTACCTGCCGTCCATCCTCATCGTGATGCTGTCGTGGGTCTCTTTCTGGATCAACCACGAGGCCACCAGCGCCAGGGTGGCCCTCGGTAACGCCTTGCCAACACCTTCTTCCTTTCTAACAAGCAAAGTTCTTGCACGTACTTAGCTAGTTCATGCTTACACTCTCCAATTGCGTCCCCAACAATTCAATAACCTTCAGAGCACGGTCACTTTCTCTCAACAACAAATAGAGGAATACAAGTTCAGTCTAAAACGCAAAACAATAACAATTTCTCCCCTTTCGTGTGGGCACGAATGACTTTTTCGTGTGAGTATGAAATAAATCAGTTTATGCCACTATTCTTAACGATGCTATGGATCTCTGTTAGGTGACTTTTCACGTCTTTCGTGATGACATCTGCATCTAATTAAGGTATTTTGCGATACCGTAGCAGAATATTTTCGTTTTCTATGTCTTTCCTGACAAAGTTGAATTTCCTCAAAATAAGCTTGGTTCCTGCGTTTACTTCGAATAATTTGTCCCAATTAATTTCTGATTTATTATTTGTGTAAATAAAAATAGTTTTTTGATTAATGTTATTCTCAATATCTTCGATAAGAGCCATTATCCATTTTCCTTCTCACAATACCTCGCACTTCGCAATCATTCCTGCTTCCATCGTTGATAAATCTGTCATTCTATTCTTCCGACATTTCCACCTAATTAGCTATTTTCCTATTTTTATTTAATAACTGGCAAAAGATTTACTGTATAACGTTGTGCACCAGAACAATTAAATAGCGTGGTTGACTATGTTTAATTTAACGTATTTCGTCGTCCCGATGTATCTTAATGTCCTCTTGAAAGCTCGCTTATGAACGGATATTGGATCCTTGGGAAACAGCAAAAGTTTTCTACAGGTGAATGACAAAGTAGGACTTGTGGTCTCCAGATGGACCCAGCGACCCAGTATTTCCTGATATACACATTAACTTTGTCGAAAGTATTAAATTCCTCCAATTTCAGTCCCTTTTTCTCTAGAGTACCCACGGGATAGCATTCCTACACTTTTCTTGAATTTCTTTTATGAATGCTTCCTGGTATTGCATAAATCCATATTCGTCTCTTGTGATTCTGATACCTAAGAAACAATAATTGATTTTATCATTCTTTTCTTTTCCGGTTAATGGAGTTTTAAGGTTAACAATCAATTAGTCTATGATAGAAAAGTCATTCACTAATAACTACACAATCAGCAAAATACATGTCAATAGCTAGGAAATTTTCTTTTTAAATACAAAATACGCATATATCCGTTTTACTATAATGCCTCATACGATACTGATTAAATACGTTAGAAATTTTCTTAACCTTTCTCGACTTCTGGTAATCCATAGAGACTTGTCTTTAGTTTTAGAATTTTGTTTCCTTCTACTCCCTCGGGATTTCCTCGGATCCGCGCTCCCTTGGGGATCTTCATATGAACCCCACGGCCTCGATCGCCATTCCAAAACGTGGTTTCTACATCTTTGTGGTATCGTGTGTTCATCAGTATCATTCGCAATGTCTCGTAACTCATTACAGGACTATAAGAATAATTATAATACATTCCGCGTACCTGCCTGAAGCCGCCTCCTGCTAATTTGGCTTTGACCTTTGTATCATTACCGTTAATTTCTTTGTAATTATACATTTACTTTTTAGACTTTTATTGTTAATGTTCTCTCGGTCAATTATTTCTCACGAATTATAATTGTGCGGACAATTTAACTCCATTTGTATTGCTTTTTCTCATTTGTTTCGATTAGCAGCTTCCCGATAGTTTCTTGGAACCGATTCGTGCGTGAAATTTGCTCTCGCACTGTACCTCACTACATGATACCTTATTCTTAATTATCATCAATCTTGTTTTTGAGCAGATTTTCGAAAACATCATCTTTTATGACATTATTTTCTTGTTCATTCATTTTATTTCGTTGACTTACTTGACCACCATTAGGAGAGTATTGTTTCTCTCATAACTCCAATCCGTTACATTATTTATACCTATTAAGATTTCTTCTTAGATTTGTCAATATCTATTTCTTTCGAGATTTCATCAGCCACTTCGACGAAAACAAGAGTATTAATGTTATTTAGATCATTGTATTACAAAATTTCGCCATCTAGACATCCCTAAATATCTTCAAGATATAATTGGAAGATTCTTGCTAAACATGTCATTTAATATTAAAATACATGACACCACATCAGATAAATACAGAATCTTAGCTAGAGTTCCACAAGGTTCCCCATTCTCACCGACTTTATTCAAAATTTACCTTGCCGATTTTTCGGAATTAATGGATTCCGAAATAGCCGTGTTCGCAGATGACACAGCCATCCTCTCACAACATGAAGAACTGGTTATTGCCCTGGAAAAGCTACATAATGATTTAAATACCTTAATTAAATGGACTGATAAATGGAGAATCCAGATAAACCCAAACAAATCACATGCTAAAATTTTCTGGCTTATAAAATTCATAATCCCTCCAGTGTTAATAATTAGTAACAATCCTGTTCTCTGGCTAAACAATAACCCATGAAATACTTAGGAGTTAAATTAGATAGAAGATTAACATGAAAGAACCACATAATTTATATTGCCAGCAAAACGTATGCAAAAATGGTCAAACTTTGCCGTCTAATAAATAAAAACTCTGCATTAAGATAGAAAATGGTGTAACAATCATTAAATCTATAATTCGTCCGTCGCTCACCTATGCGTGCTCAGTGTGGGGAGACACCGCAAACACGCAAATTAATAAATTGGAAATAATTCAAAACACTTTTCTAAGACTGGTCACCAAAGCTCCCTGGTTTATTCCTAATGCACAAATCCAAAGAGAATTAAACATTAGCTGCATTAAAGAGTACATAAAAACTATCAAAATTTTTTATGTAAGGCTTGAATCTTGTCCTAACAAAAGAACTTTCAACCTAGGCCATACAGCTTATGCACCATCCAGGATATTGTCATATATTTCCAAAAGATCGCTTAAAGCTACCATAAATTGCTAGTAAAAATGTTACAAACAATATATGGGATTGTAATAACGGTATATATGTGTTATTCACAAGTGTGGTATTTTTACTCAATGCATATTTTTGTATTAAAGGTAAACAGAAACTATATCGATTAAAAAATAAGCTCAAGTAAGTATACTTGTGTCCTGATGTAAATGGAAGAGACTGTTAAGTCTTCGTGTAATGTACGTTTCGTAAATAATAACTCCTGAAAGGCCGAAGGGGCAAGAAATTTTAAAAAAATAAAAAAAGATTATTGTATTATAGATGTTGAAGGATTCGCTCCCCTTGTTCGATTCAACGACTATCACATTCCGGGATTCTATTATTTCGTTGATCTCTAGATCATACATCCTGCAGGCTTTCCTACATCTGAAATATCGTACAAAAGTTCCATAATTTATTTCTGCAAATTTTCTAATTTCCGAATAAACTATTTTATTCAAATACTCTTCAATGTATAATTTTTGGCTTTGTTACCGAACATAGTTCCATGGACTTGGTTTCCTTTCTTGATAGTTGGTGTCACGTTGTGAGAAAATACAGCCATCTGTTCAGCTTTTCTCCAGAAATTTAGCTGCAATCCTAAATCCATTAATAGTGCCCTGGTTACATTTAAGATGGTCTTATTACTTTTTTCAGCTACTCCTTCGCTTTGAGTAGAGTAAACTGTTCTTATTCATTTAATCCTCCTATCTTCATAAAAACGTAGCTAAGGCAAATTGTTAAACTCTACATCGTTGTCCGATCTTACATATTTTACTCTACAGTATGTTTCGTATTCTCTATTTACTTAATTTATCAATCTAGTTGAAAAATCAACTTTATGTCTCACAAGATCTATGACATACCGAAAACGAATATAGTCTACGATCAACACAATGTATCTATTAACAACTACAAATATTGGTCCGCAAAGATTCACGTGTACATTCATATTTCCATAACATGCATACTTGACTTATCATCTACAATCTCCAACGGAATACTCGTAAATTTTCCCAATAAACAGCTTTAACAGAGCTCGTTCTCGTGGATGAAATCTTTCAATTCTCTTACTATTTATTTTTCATTCATATACCCACAGTTAATATGACCCAGTCTGCTGTGCCACAGGTTGTAAGTGACTTGAAACTCCATTACTGACAGTCGTTTCGTCGCGTATATTATCCGTATTATCTCAAGGGAGAGTAATTATTCTTTCTTTTTCTTTTCGTTTATTTTGAATATAAAATTGCCCCCGATAAACAATCTTTAGGCTAAAACAACATTGTCGACAGTGTCCCAAATTCTCGCGCCCAGTATAATTTTCTTATCCTTATTCACAATGTTTACAACCGATTATAGGTTAGAAATGAAGCTAAGAACAAACAAAACTTCTTTTTATTAATCTTAATTTTATAGTTGATATTAATATCACAATGACACGCAATTTGTCCGACGCACTATGATTAAATGCTTCCCGATTTAGCTGCCCGTGATCTCCGTTTTCAATACTCTCCTACTCTCTCTTTCCTCCTCCTCTCTTTCATCTTCGGTCTTCTCCTCTCTCTTCTCTCTCTCTCATCTCTCTTCTCGTCTCTCTCCTCTCTCTTCTTCTTTCTCTCGTTATTCTCTTTCCTCTCTCTGCTCTTCCCTCTCTCTCCTCTCTCCCTCTTCTCCTCTTCTCCTTTCGTTCACTTCTGCTCTATTCTCTCCTCGTCCCTCTTCTCTTCCTCTTCCTTCTCCTTCTCCTCTTCTTCAACTCTGCTATGCTCTCTTCTCTCTCTCTCTACTCCTCGTCTCTTCT